AAATCATTCAGCCGTGATCTCATCAATCAAAATTTTTTCTTCAGTGACATTGATAAAGGATGGACGTCGGTAGCCGAGCAATTTGACGTTCAGGCCACTATTCACAGGTTTGTGAGGGAAATCGACTGGTTGGGATTTCCCCAAAAGTTAAAAATTCCAACACAAGGGCTACTTAGATTTTTTTCAGTAATCTCGGTTCAGCTCTTACCGATGATGTCGTTCAGCCGTTGCGATCAATACAGCTCACTGAGGCTAAAACCATTCGAGCGGTACGTTGCAGTTTGGAATTCCAATTAGCTTTAGTCGATTAAGGGAAATGTTTTTGTCAAATGAATTTTTTTTTGAAATTCCAAAAGTGAAAAGTGCCAGTTGTCCCGCGGGTCGTGATATTTCGTTCAAAGGGCCAAGGATATCGTCAACGTTCACAAGAGCTTTTCTAAAGCCAAAACATTCCCACTTTGAGACAGCTGTCTGATATCTGAGATAGCTCGGACAGAAGAAAGATGAAAGCGTAAAGATTTTGGCGACAATGAGCCCGTTTTGGGGGTTGCGCACTCGCATCTGTCTTCCGTTCAGAATCGTAGTATGCTTTGGATGCATATATGCCCCTTGCGCTGACCAGCCGATGTGCAAGTTAGTGCTTTGACCCTCCTGGTCGAGTCTGCTGCCAATTAACCAACACTGACGGGACGAAACACTTGGTTTGCCAAAGTGAGTACCGATGTAGGATTCGATCCCTGGACCATTTGTGTGTAACGGTGCGCCCCTTGCACTGCACCACCTCAGCCCAATAGTAGAATACGTTTACTGCCTTCTAAATATCACCTGACGAACATAAAAATTCTCTTTCTCTTTCTCGCTCGATTTCTCGCTCCCACTTTCAATTTTCGACATATGTTTGTCGGCCGTTTCTTAAAGACGGTCATTATCTGCCTATCTGTTTACCTGGGTACTCATTTCAGGCCGCACTGTTCGTAGAACGAGAAACGCGCAAATTGAAAGATGCCAGGGATGCTACAATAAGAAAGAAGCGATTACTGTATGAGAGCAGCAAACAGTTGGAGAAACTGGAACAATCACTTGATCAACAGAATAATGGCGAAAGAGTAAGCGTTAATTATTATAGTTTATTAGTTTCAAGCGTCAATCAGACAGTAAACGGTTATTTTGTGGTTTTCGGGGAATTTCAATATTTTTTTGTTTAATTAGCCTCCTATTGAATCGACTTCATCGGTCTGTGCTCCCTACTATTACTGCGATCGCTCGCGTCTAGGATTTGGGTGATTGTAGAGGAGACCGGACATTTTATTTGTTTTTTCTTCCCCTCACTTATCTATTTGTTCAATCCGGGTATTTTCTCTTTGGAAATTATACTTATGTTACTCTTACTCTTCTTTCTCTTCTTTGTTGTGGTGAATAGCTCTCTAAGTCAAAGACCTCTTTTTTGTTCGCTGTTTACCGTTTACTAGAGAGTAAACAGTAAACTGCTGAGGCTAGGAATCGTTTACTATGTTGTCGCTGTTGCTTTTTGTTTTTTGAGCGTTGTTTATTGTTGGTCAAAGTTAGTATGTCTGTCAGTTCTAGGTGTCGTTGAAAAAGAAGCGTCTTGAGGATCAGGTAAAGAAGCAAGAGGAAGCCTACGTCTGGGATACTGTCGACTTGGAAAAACAGCGGCGGTGAGTCTTAAGTTTGGTTTCTGATTGAATAGGAATATGTCCAAAATACGGTTACCCACTTGTCCAGGAAATGAATGATATGACATTTGAACTTTGTTCTTTCCTCTTTTCCTGAAGAGTTTGGTTTCCTCGACCCATTTTTTAAAACAACAGAGCTTTCTTAATTGTATTATATCCAACTGGATCCTGCTCAAAGTTCTCATGAATTCGATTTTGTAATCAATTCGGGTCAATACGTCCTTCGATTTTCGATTTTTGCCGCTTAATCCCAACGCATTTCTGGATTTCTGGCGAGGTTTCTCCTCAGCTTTAGTTCGATCGTCGTGAGTATTCAACTGAGCATTAACAAAGACCTGCTTACTCATAGCTGAATCACGAAGTGTTTCATCTGTTTGTGCGGGTAGTTTTGCCAAAAATTTCGCTGCAGTGCAGATTTCTCCTAGGACTTTTGGGAACATCCATGGGGTTTCTATGTGGGGGAACTACTTGAGCATAACGTGTCCCTACATCTTGCTTAGCGATCGAAGGATGCACGACCCGTACTTCTCTGCGAGTTCAAACACAATCACTCCACGCTGAAACTCATCGAACTTGTGTCAGTTTTTCGGCTATGGACCTCCTTCCAAGTCGTTATAAGGACACCTCGCTTTAACGCTCCACAGCCTGAAATAAAAAAGAGATGAACTCTGATTTGTTCAGCCGTTTGCGGTATCATGAAAGGTTCTAATATGTTATGCATACGCAAATGAGGAGGTCCTTTTATATGTTTCTATGGGAAACCCTAGAAAACTTCGAAAGAAGAATCTGGCCTTTTTTTGTAATATTTGGCAGATATTTAATTTCCGCACAACCTACTAATACTTATTACCAAGAATGACGTAACGTAAGCCATTTTGTCGCTACTTTTTTTTCGTTTTTCGCCGACCCCTATTTCGTTGCAATCGTCTATTCCTTGCCCCACTAACCTCAAAAGCTACCTGCTAAAGGTGTAATCAAAGGCGCAGTTCACGGTGAAAATAGCTTATGAGATGTCCCGCTGGTGTCTATAGCCCCCTAGTCTACCATATGTGGCGCTGTCAGGTGGAAAAAAACGGTCTAGATAGGGCGTTATGAAGGCTTTGTCCCGTGTGTATGCGTGGGCAAGCTTCAACGGCATTGTGGAGGCTGCATCATTCACAAGGGAATCCATGGAGGAACTTCAAACAACTTCTTGTGACCCGTAGTGACAGCGAAAGGCAATTCTGGACAGTTTTGGCTTGATGTACATATCTAGTTCATTGCGCAATTGCAAGATCTAGAATCTCGTCCAAGTGCCTCCTGCATGACATTCCCGTCATAATAATCTCGTACAACTATTTCACTACATCCGGAAAGCCTTATTTTTCGCAAAATCGGAGAACTTTCTCCCTTTTTTACCACCGATGCACTATTCCCGATCATCACTCCCGCTTTGCGACAGAAAAAGAGTGCATGATTTGCCAACAATAGTGACCCTTTATTCAGAACGATACACACCAAAAAGGAGAATTTTACGAATGCAGGGAACTTAAGATTTTGGAAGGATGCCTGTTTTATATAGACCTGTGCAGTTATTGTTTCAATGGAATGCAAAAATTTTTGCATTTTGCCAAAACGGGGATTTGGGAGCTAAACGAAGTTCACTTGAGTATGTCTTTGAAATCGAGAATATTCAAAAGCACCAAAAGCGCTTGAAAATGTCTGAAATCTAATGAATTGCTGGAAATAATAGAAAATGCACTAAGTCCGCTATGCAGCCTACATAGCTATACATCTCCCTCTCTGAAAGAAAACCTTCTTAATCTAGCCTGCCGCTAATTTCTAGATTGATTACGTCGAGTTCTTCAATAATCGTCATGGTTGCAGTGTCACGGAAGGCGTTCTACGGAAAGGTGTTGAAAGTCTCGAAGCGGTTGAACGGCAGCGCTTGGCTCATTGCCAGACGGCGCTGGGACGTTATCAGCGGAAAATCGAACAACTCGGACCGAATTTGCAACAGGTCTCACTTGAACGTATTGCATTCAATTTTTACGCCCTATTTGTGCCATTAGAATGACTAGCCATTGAGGGGATACGTAAATGGGTGAAGCGGAGTGATGTCGTGGTGATGTATGAGTTCAAGATCCTTGGGAGATGAGCTTTGCTATGGCTCGAAATTATTTTCGGGTGAATACCAAGTTTACAAAGTCATCGTAAAGTGTAGACCACTCTCTTCCCGGGGATAGGACATTGTGGGAGGGTAACAGGCACATGCGTTTGCGATGCGGCTCAGCTAGCAAATCGGTATTCCTCACAGCGGCAGATAACAATCGCTAGAATTATTTATTTTTATTGAAAAAGTGTCGACAAATGCCTATTTTTCAGTCAAGTGTTTAATCATGGGTAGTTTAGATGTTTGACCGGCATACGAATAACCTTGATATGGCTGTGCAGGCTACGGCTGCCGACTACATCGCAGGAATTCAACCATCAACAGCTGCTGTGAATCACATCATCCTCACAGATGTTTATGTGAGTTCATCTTTCTACCATTCTCAGGGTATGCGTACAGGAAAAAGGTAAGCGGAGCAGAATTCAATCGGAAAGTGGTTCCTCTAATAACAAAATTGTTTCAAGGTACTCCGAAGTCTTTCAATGAGTCCGATAATTCCCTATATGAGTGATAATACCTGTTCAACTGCTATTCTGTGAGGGGACCGCCTTTGTGGTACCCCCACTGGGATTCATCATAGGAAACGTTCTTTATTAGAGGCCCAGTTCACTCGAGTTAGTCTAAGTCTAAAAGGAAAGTACTGGTCGGAAATAGTGCATCGATGTTGAAGAAAGCGAGAAATTCGCCCATTTAGCGAAAAACAAGGCTTCTCAAAAGTAACGTAAATAGGGGTTGTACGAGATTACCATGAAGACTATGACATGAAAGGGGTATTTGGACGAGATTTTAGCTGTTGAATAGCGCAAAGAGCTGACTACATTAAGCCAAAACTGTCCAGAACTACCATTCACTGTCGCTATGGGTCATGACAAGTTGTTTGAACTCCCTACACGGGTTCCCTATGAATGGTGCATCCTCTACGTGGCCGTTGAAACTCGTCCGCACATACGCACGGGACAATCGTTGAGCCTTTATAACGCCCTATCGAGGCCGTTTTCTAACCTGACAGTGCCACATGTATTATACGAGAGGCCACAGATTTATAGAGAACCGTTCTGACATAAAGAACCCGTTTTACTCTTTCAATATTCCTAAAAACTTTAATTCATTCAATGTCCGATTTACTCTTCGTTCTAATTCGCCGGCAAATCGATCAAGACTGTGATCTACTACAGTATCCGTTTGCAGTTCGTCACATTCCTTTCGGGCTTCAATCGGACAGGTGGCTTTGTAGTGAAGTTTGACGCCAAGCCTCTGTGGCACGTAAAAGGTGCCGCTGATATTAGGCGATAATCGATGCAATGCAAAGTGATTGAATACGGTAGCAACATTAGCAGTACTGAAAACAAGTCTTTAGGGGATACTGTAGACGTGAAGTTGTGCACAGCACTCACCTCGTCATACTTTTACCGTAGTCTCGATGATTACTAGTTTTCCGTGATCGATATGAGTTCCGAAGCATATACATATAATCCGGTATTGATTGATTCACCATTTTGGTGGGAAATTTGAAAACGTTTGAGAATGATAACGAGCTGATACGATCAGTAGGTGTGTCTTGTTCAATAGTTTGGAGTAGTTCATGGTAGTTATCGTGCTGCGTTGGAACGATCAATTCATCAATATCGAGGATCAGGATATAGCGATGGGTATTCATGTGCCTGAAATGAAGAGAGGATTGGAAAAATAAAAAGTAAAATATGACATGACTCTTCACTTTTGCTTCTTTTTTGACCCTTACCCTCGATCTATTCTGAATTTTTTTGACGCTTTTTTTTNGGAAAATCGAACAACTCGGACCGAATTTGCAACAGGTCAGCGTGGTCACTTGAACGTATTGCATTCAATTTTTACGCCCTATT